CTGCAGGGTTGATGGTTTTTAGGGTTTAAGGTTTAGGGGTTAGGGCTGAGGGTATAAGGCTTAGCGTTTAAGGTTTAGGCTTTAGGGCTTTAAGGTTTAAGGTCTAGGGTTTAGGGTATAGGACTGAGGACTTCGAGGGCTACCAGGTGCTCTCACCGTGCAGTCACAGTAAGGAAAATCTGCTTCACCGCCTACAGTGCCCGGTAGCTACTGAATAGGATGTGAACACGTCTCAAGATGCATGTTTGGAACACTGAACCTTAAAACCTGAACTACAAGTACCTCAACGTGGTCCACCTGACATAGAAAACACATTCATGAGCCCTAGCCCGCAACCTAATCAACCGTAGGCCAAGCGCTTCAACTGCTGCCACGCTGTCCGAGTCACGAGCTTGCTTTCGGTACACTCTCTTGGGCTGCTACTGTGTTCAATTGAATGTTGTGGTGTAGCATCCTACGGAACCCTAGCATCCGATCCTGCTGCCCTCAGAGAGCGTGTTGAGAAAGACGAGCTTGCTCGTGACCTTGGCTAGGCTAACCAAGTCAGAGTGGTGAAAAAAAGAAAAGCTTCCAGTGCACGGTCAAGAATTGCAGGGTTTAAGGCTTCGGGCTTTCGGGGTTTAGGGGTCTTAGGGTGTGGGGTCTGCGGGAGTTTGGGGTCCTGGGGTTTGGGGTTCTGAGGGTTGGGGTTTAGGGCTTTAGGGTTTAGGATTTCGGATTTAGGGTTTGGGGCAGCTCGGGGTATAACGAAATCCAACACATCTGTGAGTTCTCGACCAGTCAACCGGCAGAGCCCAAACTACACCGAGAGACGCATGGAAAGGTCTCTAAACCCAAGAGGGATCAAACTTTCTGATGGTGTGGGGCTTGAGGGATTTAAGGGTCGCGGGTTTCGAGTTTGGGATGTGGGGTTTAGGATTTGCGGTCTGCGTCCAGAGCTTGAGTAGGAGTTAGGGATGCATTATTCTGACAAAGGAAGGCGGCGGCGGCGCTGCTGCAAGATCGTAACGCTATTGGGGTGCTCGACGAAGAGTATGACCTTGTCGCCACGACAGCACCAGAAGCCAGTGGTATATCTTCTCCTTAAGCCCTATAAAACATTGACCCAAACAAAGAAGCAACCGTAAACCCCTAAAAACTAAACCCCGAAAGCTTTAAATCCTAAACCCCTGTCCTGCGTCCAACAACTTCTGGATCGTTGGTTTCCCCTGTGTTGCTCTAGGTCTCCCCATCTGACTTTGCTTGTACCCTCAACCTTTAGGGTTTAGGGTTTAGGACCCAAGCCCCAACCCCTACATCCTAACTCCAAACCGTCTAAACCGTCAAACATCAGTCCTTAAAACGGCAGAACCCTGCGTAAACACTAAACCCGCCAGCCTAAGTTTACCAAGTCCTAACTCCGAAACCCGGAACCCTCAACACCACCTCCTTAAATGCTTCAAGCTCAAACCCTGAACCGTCACACCAAGACCTTCAAACCGAAGAAGCTAGCAGACCTACAAACCCGCAACACTAAACCCGCAAAGCCCCAGGCCCTGACCTATCCTTAAAAAAAACCTCAGAACCCAATATTATTCAAAAGATTACGTGATCTAGTAAGTAAGATCCACGGTTTGACCAGAAATTGCCTAACTCTGCCTATCCTAACTACAGCCTGCTGACTAAATCCACTGAGCCTCTGAGCACTAGCAGTCCTTGCTAGAAGCAACTACGGCTACTACTCGTGATGATACTCGTGTTGCTACTGCATAGCTGTTATTCCACTACCGATATGACGATTATGAACTTCCTTAGAACAAGCCGTTTGTGATTTTCGACCAACCATGACATAAATCATCGCAGTAATTACTCGCACTGCCGGAATGAATTCCACTCTCCTTCTCCCTCTCTCCCTCTGCCTCTCTCTCTCTCTCTCTCTATGTTTCTCTTTCGTTCGCAGGTGTATGGGTGCATATGCATGTATACATACACACAGTTAAAACGTATGCAAACATGTCCACTTGAGTCCCAGATCAACGAAACCAAAACCACTTCGGCTTGGCCAAATGTCTTGAACCAAGCAACCCAACCTTCAACCTTGATGACAACCTCTCGAGGTCTTTGAAACGGAAAGCCTTGAGGAGAATGCCAATGATGGCGAAGTGGAATTCGATGTTGCCAGCGCTGCCAACCTAGTCTGCATACTTCGCCGGGGCAACAGCCCACAAGAGTACCGTTGATTCGATTCCTTTCGAAGGACAAGGCTCTGGGTCTAGGCTCTCTCCGCACTGCTTCCAGATGGATACTGAATTTTGAGATTTTGCGGGGATATGAGGTTCAGCAACTTTGGCTGGTAGACTTACCAAGCCCTGAATCGTGAACCCAAATCCTGGAAACCTTGCGCCCTAACCCCAACCCCACACACTAAGAACCGGAGCCATTCTCGCGGCCTTAATGATTAAGATAGGTGTTGGGGCCTACTGCAGCAGGACGCAAGTTCGGCGTACTCTCACATCTTGGTCTTGAACGCCTTGCAAAACCCTTTGCCCAAACGATTCCTCCAACCAAATGTGAATAGATTCGCCCACTTGCCAGGCCACACAAAATGATTCGGTACTCCGTGTCCTCTGCATGATCCCCCGCATGATCACATGGGCAAATGTGAGGAAGTTTTTATCGTGGCGAAGTATCATTGTTCACACAACCTTCGCACGCTCATACTAAGCAATCCTACACACTAGTAGTACTTACTGGTTATTCAAGCTTTTATAGCCCAACGCCTAAGCCCTATATATTACCCGCACCCCCTAAAACAAATTGCAAACCATGAAGCTGCTTTCAGCTGAACAAAAGCCGTGGAGAAGGATTCCTCTTCTTCGCCTTGGCTTCGGGATTGGGATTGGAGTTTAGTGCTTACGGTTTCGGATTTGGAGTTACTACAATAAGGGCTACTGTACGGGGCACTTTTTGAGCTACTCTGAGGGTCAGGTATCGGACCAAGGGCTTTGAATGTAAACTTCGACAGTGAACAGACTCGGGTGCTTCTTTGCAGCGTCTTCGCGGGTCTTCATGTAATAAAGCGCTTCCATATCTAGAAGTGGGCAGTACTGCGACTGTTTGGAGACTACAAACGAATGATGTTGTAAAGTACTTCTTCGGCATCTGTGAGAAATGCCATCATTTTGATTGCAATTATGATTTGCAAAATCACATCAAAAAGCACATGCTCCGGCCCGCATGCCAAAAAACTAATCAAGAGTCGCTGGGGCCTGTGGGACAGAAGTCTCAAATAGTTTGGACATGCGCCGATGTTCTCCAAGCTGTGCTAACGAATCGGGTTCAACGAGCTAACGAATCGGGTTCAAAGACTCCACAGCAGCACTGTGCCAAGACACTGAGCTCGGCCACCTTGAGGTCCTGGACAGAGTTGCAGCGCAAAGCGGATAAACCCTGACGAAAAACTACAGCGTCATCCTCACCCTCAACCCGAAATCCTGAACTCTAACTATACACCCGAAACCCTTAAACAGACTCGAACGGTGTTGAGTCCTAAGCCTTGCACCCATTAGGAGGCACAGGTCTGCGCCGACATCTTCCTCCTTTGGGTCTTCAAGCTCAGGGGTTCCGTTGCCATACCTTTCAAGCGCCTGGACACCAAAACCTTGCTGGGGGAGACCTTCGACCTTGAACCCTAAACCTTGCAGTTCGGGTTGAGGGGGCTCTGCTTATGGTCCTTCATGTGTCTACTCAACCCACTGGTTTTGTTCGGCTACGATGAGGTATGTTTCGCAACGAGTACCTCGCGAAACCCTAGTTTATACCACTTTCAAAGCCCTAGGCCTAACGGCTTCAGCAAATTTGCCCTGTCAGTAATCCTTGCAGTATCACTTAACATCTAATCCTTAAGCCGAAAACCCCTCAAGCCCCATATCCTAAACACGCTAAACCATAAATGCGAAAAAAAACCCTAAATCCCCTAAGCCGCTAAGCCCTACATCCTAGAAACCCTGAGTCCCAAAACTCTAACCCCTCATCCCAAATCCACCCTAAACACTGAACCCTTAACCGTAAATCCTAAACCCTTACAACCCCTCCATCGGCCTTCGGAAAAGCATGCCAACGCCGGCGGAGCTCGATGCACTTCTCCTACATCAGAAATGAGGGCTGCAGGTTTTAGGGTTTCGGGTTTAGGATTTAGGGGTTTAGGGTTTACAGCGCAGGATTTAGGGTGTAAGGTTCGGCTGTGAGCTGCAGGGTGGTTTAGGCTCAGTGCAAAGGGTTTGTCAGGCATAAATGGTGGGTTTTCGGGCCAGGTCTTAGGGTCTTTTTGGGACCCAGCAATCCCTTCGTATAGCCCTCGCTTCAAAACCAGTCATTCTGAACAATATACCCGGTTAATAAACCCTATAAGCACTAATTAAGCAGACTTTAGGGCCTAGCGTATTTCAGTTCAGGGACACCCTCATGCATCCAAAATTCAATCACCGCGACCCAGCGCACATACGCCTGGCAAACACAAGTCTTGCTCGCAGCTGCGTGTGTACAACGTATGTATGTATGTATGTATGTACGTACGTAGGCAGAAGGCAGGTGCATATGTTTATGTTTGTTTGTATGTATATTATGTACACTCAGTATATGTATCTGTATTTGCACTTAAATCTGTGCATGTATATGTATATGTGTAGATGTACTTGTGTATATGTATATGTATATAATGTATATATGTATATGTGCACATGTATATGTGTTTGGATGAGTATATGAATATGTGTAGCAGGTATATACGTAGGATGAGCACGTATACGTACATGTACATGTGCATGCATACGTACATGTATATGTAACTGTAGATGCAGGTGTATGTGGGTATGCAGCGTGCATGCATGCACACCAGCATTTTGGTCATCCTCGTTTTCCTCTCGAGTTTTTTTATGATGATATGAGCTGATGCTAGGTGTTTCTTGCCTTAGGTGGATCTGCCCGAGTGCGCAGCATGCAAGTGTACGTTGTTGCTCTGCATGAGAGGTTTGCCCCGACGACGACTCCGAGTCGTAAGGAGTTGAGCTGCTGATTTTTTTTTGCGGAGGTGTCGACATCGCAGCTCAGACTTCAGAGGCCTCTGAGGCGGACTTCAAGGAGCCAGGGCCTCGAGGAGCTTTTCTTTCCTGCTCAGAAGGGTCGTTTTTCACGAAGCCACAAGGTACGCAAAGAGCCTCGGCGTGGAGCTTGAGAAGGATGTCGACCTGGTCTGGGTTGCTAGGGAGGCGAGAGAGATCTCACTGAGCTCTTGGCTAAGCCGGCCAAGAGCAGCCTCTGTGCTCTCCATGTCTCAGGCCTTTGAAGCTCCGCTACCGGCAAGCTGGTCCGAACACCTGGACCAGGAGCGACGCATTTACTTCTTCAATCAGGTGCTCTGTGCCGTGGAAGGGTTGCATGTAGAGCCGTTCCATGCAGGAAGCTTCTAGAGCTGCCGTCGTGTTGGACGCCAGGTGACACAGCAAAGCAGCTGGAATCATCCCATGGACCCGACCTTGTTGGAATCGGCACCGCAATTCCTTCCTAATCTCAGAAGCCCTGCCAAGCCACCAGTAGCAACAACAGGACGAGGTCTTCCGGGACTTGATCCATCTCATCAAGTCAGTCAGGCAGCGAACAGAGCTAGATTGGAGGCAGTAATTCTAAACTCGCAGCTCGGGCTAGGGCCAGGTAAGCAGAGGGCCAAGCCAGGCTTTTGTTGGGAACTTCCCAGGAGGCTGGATCCGCCCGAAGCCTCGGTGGTTGAAGCCGCCGGGGCCCTACTGGTAGCAACGCCATCGCACTAAGAGACTTGCGCCTTGCGGTGCAGGTTCAGACGCACCTCCAAAGTTGCCACGACAGAGCTTCGGCGGCCCTGGAGGGATGGAGTGGGCCGCTCCTCTACGATGCTTCGAGTCGGCACCCTGCATGTGGGGACTCTTGGAGTGCTTCGAGGCCCTATGCCGCCGAAGACGGCGAGTACTTCTACCACGCGGAGCAGGGTGCCAGCTTCGGCCTCTGAGTCGTTTCCTTCCGTTCTCGGTTTGAGTTTTGTCGTCGGAGGCACCTGGCACAACCCCGTGGAAGAGTGGCAGACGGAGCTTTCCGTTCGTCAGCAGGCACCTGGGCCAGGCTTGGGCTTGGGGGATCCGCGCGGTGGAGCATCGCCCAGGTGCTCCACCGCTGTCTGCTCCACGAGAGCCCTCCCAGCAAGGTGGGGGAAGTTCAGCTTTCTGGTCTGCTGGTACTTGTAGAACTGCAGCGCAGGCTGCCAACGGCATCGCCAGGGGCGGCAGGGGCACAAGCAGGCCGCGAAAAAGCCACGGACATCGAAGAATCGCTCTGCTTGCACTGCCGTGCGAGGGACACCTCACCTCCGGCACTGCCGCTGCATTTGGCCAGGCCGCTGGCCGTCTCTTGGCCCATTCTGTCGTATCTACTTAGCTTCCCTGGGCTCAGGCCGATGGCTGAAGGCGCCACGCCTCCCTCTCCAAGCTCAGCCAGGTCGGCTTTGCGAGCTTGGAGCTGGCGCTTGTTCGTTCAGTCTGAAGATGTGCTTGCAACAGTGAGAGGTCGTTTGCCACCTGCATCTCTGCACGATCTACTTCAGTGGAAGCCCAAGCAGATGCTAGGACCAGAAGAGGACAAAAGAAGTGGGTACAGTCGATCGCAGTTGGTGCGAGCCTTCGTGTCGTCGTATCCTGCGCAGATCACTCCTCGAAGCCGCCGCCCATCTCTCTGTGCCAGTGAGGCAAAATGGCAGTCTTGGCAGAAGTAAGACACAAGGGCTCTTCGTTGCGATGCAGCTTTCAATTCTACTATGTCGCCTTTCCCGAGCATTTGCCACAGGCACCCTCGAGGAATAACTCTAAGCAGAGAGCGGAGATGCCGGCGCCCACGCCTCAGCAGAACACACATATGCAGAGCATGTCCCAGCTGAGCGCATCTCTGGTGCCCTGGCTTCCAGGCGGCCAGAAAAAGGCCCAGAGAACAGTGTCAGGGACCTCTGTGCGATACGGCTTGACTCTGGCCAGGGGAGGCTTCGGAAACTGGCAGGCGCGACTTCGGCTCAGCGTGCAAAGTCTGCCTTGAAGCACGGAACGATGCGGAGCGACTTAGTGCGTTTGTGTTCAAAAACCTGCAAATCTGGAGAGGAGACAGACGCACCAGCAGCTAGAGATATCCCAAGAGACTGACACTCATGTGCACAAAGCAGTTCGTAGACAGGACACTTTGCTAAACCATTCCCGACCTTGAGGAAGCAAGAAGCCAATCCTGAATTCCGACTGACCAAACCCCCCAGCCCTGAAGATCCGAAGATTCACTCACGTGTGCATGCGGCGGGCATGCTCCAAGCGCCCATCCGGGACTATGCGGACGCCCGGGAACGAGCCAGACAAGGCGGATCCTGCCAAGCACCGATTTTGACTTGCTGTACGAGCCCGACAACCCCAGGGCCCGTCAGCTTCCGACATTTCCAAGGTTTTTTGGGTCCGGAGTGTCTGGCGTGTCCATGTTGGCTTGGGCTCAACAAGGCAGTGTTCTTTCTTCGAGGATCTCACTCTGACAGGGGTCTGTCCGAGTAAATCGGGATTGGCTGGAAACGAGTATTGGTAAGCACTGCATCAGCCCTTGCTGGAACGTTCCCATCCGACAGGGCCTCCGATATGTTACACAAAGTCTGGCCTCCACCATAGGCCTCATGAGCTAACCCCGAGCACAGGCAAGTCTGCAGGGGGTTTTGGGGCGACTCGACTGGAGACTCGGAGGCTATGGCCCCGGGCGGCTGCCCAGGGGCCTCGACGATGCGCCCAGGGCAGGTGCAGAGGGTGGCAGTTCCTGTTATGGGAGCGCATGCCGTTTGCTGTTACTGGGGGCGCTGTTCTGTATGGGTTGGCTTTGTGGACTGCATGGGATGCGGTGAAGACCTGCTGCTGCGATAGCTGCACGATCCTGCTGCTCCTGCTGCGCACAATAAATTACACATGCACACGGACATGTTCAGGCATACTGGTACAAAGCATGGTTGCATTGCAAGGCAGAAGGCTCCGATGTTTGTTGCAATCCAGGCATCGCCGCCTTGCGCCTGGCTGCCGCAGGGCTGGAGGTTTCTGCTTGCATAGATTTTCTTGAAGCTGAGAAGCCGGAACGTGCGTCTCGCGGCCATTGCAAAAGCTGCGCAGGCGGCCAACGGCGTTTACCAGGCCAGTGCTGTGACAGCAGCTTCACAAAGTGGTGACAGATACGGAAGGTTGCGGAATCCGCATCAAGCTGCAGGTAACTTCCAAAGAGAAGTTTGGCGCGCCCGTGTTCCACAATATCTCTCAGCCAGGCCAGTTTTGGGCTGCATCCTCGTCTTCTCTGTCATCCACACTTTTGTGGCTTTTTGGAGGCTTCCGCATTCTGCGAGACGAGCAGCTGAACAAGGGGAGAGCGCCTTTGCCAACAATGAACTCGACAAGACTGCGGCGCCGCATTTGGGCATGTCCTCGAGCAGTCAGAGTGTTCGTTACCACAAGGCTCGACATGGCTGGCTGCTGCTGTCGCCAGAAGGGGTGGCTCTCTACGGTCTTCCCACGGAGCAGCTAGTGGCTCTCTTCTTCAGTAGGTTATAGTCACGGTTAGTGCAACAGAGATTTTGATTGAAGGAGTCTTTGACTGTTCCAGTATCGACCTGGCGCTGCTATCAGGCATCGGGGATCTTGCTGTCAAGTCGAGTGAAAGGGCGAAGTGTTGCTGCTTCGTCTGTCGTTCGGGCTGGCAGGCACCGCAGCCTGCCCCGCGAATCGAAGCGTTTCAGGCTCTAGGGGAGTTCTTGTGGGACTTCGCAGGTGCCGATTCTGCCATTCTTTCCCCTCATCTCCCGCGCTCAGCGACTGCATGCTTCTCACGTTTGCTCACCTCCACCCCACAACCTACGGTCGACTTTGAAAAACCATCGGGCGCAGAGCTGCAGTCAAAGAGGCTCTCGGTCCACCGAGCGCGCACGACTTGAAGATAATCTCACAGGTTCGTTCAAAAGTCATTGCGATCTTCCTGTCTGCACGCCGACATGAAAAACTTCAGCTTCCAAAAGCATCGGATGAGGACATTCATCAATGAACTAGCAGCAGCTGCTATGACAATGTTCATCTGTTGTTTCCGTATTTCAGGCAAGCTCGAGCAGTAGAAATGCAGGTGCTCACAGAGGCGGTGAACGCCTTCGTGGATGCTGTGGAGGCTGGTTTCACATGCCGTGAAAGGAGCCCCAAGCCCCAAACCCAAACCCTGCAGGAATCGGTAAAGGAGGCTTTGGTTGCAGAGGAGCCCGCCTTGCCAGTCTAGGTTCTGCTCTTACTCCCTTGGATGGCGCTCGCGATTGCTGCTAATCTTTTTTAAAAAAGGGTTTCCTAAGTGTTGCTATAGACTCTCGGGAAGCCCTAGCTTGTGACCAGGCTTTCGGGCCTTCAACTCTGGTTTAACCTCTATTGCCAGCTCTTTATGGTTAATGTAGGTTGGGCACTCCCTGCATCTCCAGGACTGGCAGTCTGCACGCTTGGCCCCCGGACTCCAGTGCGAGAAGTGTGCTACATCATTCTGCCTCGGGGTATCGCGCCGGAATAATCTCTAGTAGGGCATCATTGTGGGAAGGTTGGTGGGAGTAGCTCTGCTGCCATGGCTGAAACCCGGGAAACCAAGCCCGATACCAAAACACCTTTGCCTTCGTATTGACCTTTACCATCCTCGCGTATCAGGGACTTGAGGAAGCGTCTTTTTGGAGGAGCTTTCTCCATCCCCACGAAGCCCCAAAGTCAAGCAGGAAACTCTAAACCTTAGAAGATACGGCTGTAGCAGGGAGGACGAGAGCCTTCCTTCAGCCTTCAAAACAAAAGAAGATCCGGGGGCTGAGGCGAGGCCTCCACTTCAGCACTGGAAGGCCTCTGCCTCTCCGGCCAGCGCTTCGGCCAAAGCTTCGAGGCTGCGGGAAGGAGGTGTTTAGGATTCAGGGTTCAGGGAGTTTAGGGTTCTGACATGTCGGTGTCCGCGTCATGGACGCAGGAGACGAGCGTTCAGGCTGAAGGATGGCAGTGACAGAAAAGCCTAGTATCTGACAAATCTTGTGGGCTGAGCGCACCCTGATTTTGGGGAAGTCAGGGCCCAGGGCTGGGAGGAGCGTGACGTGCCGAACTAGAATCCAATTAACTTGGCCCGGTCCGGAGAAGTTGCATTGGCTTCAGCAACAATGACGCAGCGATGACAATAAACAAATAATGAAAATAATATGAATAATGATAATGATAATAAGAATAAGAATAAGAATAACAATACAATAACAATAATAGCAACAATAATCATAATAGCAACAATAGTAAAAACAATACTAGTAGCAGTAATAAATGTAATAATAAGTATAACAAAAATACTGACAATAACAATACTATCATTATAATAAGAATGATACCAATATAATCGCAACAATAATAATAGCAGTAAGTGGGCGAATGCTAATCATAATAATAGCAATACTATTGCTATTAATAATAGCAATCATATTATCAATAAAACTAATAACAATACTTATAACAATACTCATAACACCGCTACTACTACTACTACTACGACGACGACTACTACTACCACTGCTGCTGCTACTACTACTACTACTACTACTACTACTACTACTAGTACTAGATCATCACAATCATCATAATATTCCTACTACTAGTAATAACAACAAGAAGAATAATGATAATAATAAGGATACTCATAATAGTTGTAGTTTTAACCGTCATAATAGTCATATCAACAAAACTGCACAGCGTCTCCCGGCCCCTCTCAATGCAGCCCGGCAACGATACCTGGGCCAGGCGCGTGCAGTTGCCCTCCTCCGCTGCAGGGCGAGGGCTGCTCTGGCACTGAGGCCTTACTGCTCGCCAGAGGTTTTGGATTGCCGGTTTTTTTTCGTGAGTCTGTTGGGGTAGGGGAAGTTCCGGGACAACTTGATGATGTTAACGGACATGTGCTCAAAAGTCGGGGATGTGGTCTTGGTGTTTGGTTTAGGATGCCAAGAATTTCAAGGACTGAAGCCCTAGGTTTGGCCAGCTTCTGTGCCAGGGACTTCAAAGCCGCACTGCGGGACTCCGTGGTCATCCTCGAGCTTTCGCCGGGTACGCCTCAGATGCTTCCTTCTTGCAGCTTTGTTTGAGGACACCTACCATGTTGCTGAGGTGATGCTGCTGAGGAGGCCATGGTGCTGAACTGCAAACGGGCTACTTGCAGTCCTAGTTTCATGGGCCCAAGTCCAAAGGGAAAGAGTTCGCTCCATGAGTATCTCGATCCATTGACGTTTTGCACCTCAGACCCGAGCACGCCCTTACCTATCTTCTGCAAGAATTCCGTGCAGATGGCGCTCACTGCAGCTGCGGAGCTGGGTGCAGACGCTGATGAGCTCCTAGAGGCGAGGTCCCAAGGCACATCTGTGCTAATCCCAAGAAGTGCAGAACACGAGAATCACACCCGCCTTGCTTGTGACTCTTGGACCTGATGGCATATATCACTGCAAAAAGTTAGCTTTGAGACAAACGCCGGAGCACTCGGAGGTCATCCGCCGCGGTGGCATTTTGGACCGTTGCTCCCCACTGTCGCTGCGGGTTGTAGAGCAGTTGCTTGGCGACACATCTTACGTTGAGCTTGTGGCTTTCTTGGCTTTCTTTGCGTCCTAAGGTGGGTGGAGGATGTTGCGAAGGTTGCGGAGGCCCGTACAAACCTGCGACATCGGCAGTCTGAAGGCTCGCACGTGGGTACTGCGTCCTTATAGCCAATTGTTTCTGAAGCAGTTTACGTTGAAGCTTCCATTCACGTGCTCCAGGCGCTGTCGACAACGCTCCACAGCAAGAGGCCGAGCAGGCCCTCCGCTGCTTGTTGAGCATCTCAGTGAGGACAGGACAGGAATGCCACTTTTCTCCGAGGCGCTGGCTCCTTCCGGGGAGCGCAGCATCAAATCCTTGAGCGGCTCCGAGGTCGCTCCGCTCGGATGAACTCTCCTGATCGCGACATAGGGCATCTGCCATGGCAGGTCACGGACGTCTACCATCGTGGCTTCGTGGCGTGGGCCGGCTTTCCTCGAGCAGAAGAGATGCGGGAGCAAATTTGTTAGAGTTCAATTTCCTTGTTCGGGACTGGACTGTACCGCAGCCCTGGTCTCTCCCACTTGGGAGGAGCCCCTGTTCTTCCATGAGTGGGCCTTGTGGCTTGGCAACCAGCTCTCCATTCTGAACTGGCGCCTGCTGGCCAGACGGAAGGCACGAGAACGTCGAACCTGGATGAGCACGGGGTAGTGCCAGCCGGGCGGTGCCGGTAACGCGCAGGGGGTGCAATTGGAAGACAGCACGGCGATGTCACCTCGATCGCAGCAAAGGTGCCAGATATTCGTACCGTGACTTCGGTCGTGTCGCAGCGAAGTTGCGCCAGGGCTGCGGTCGAGGCCCTGGTCGCTGCCTTCGAATCTGCCGGGCGGCCGGCAGTGGAGGCGGGACATTGACGTGTCTTTTGCTTTCGATTCGTCCTGTTCCGAAGCAGGCACCGGAAGCGCTCGGGCGGCCAGTGCTTTGCGACGCGGAGGCCGTGCTGCAGCAGGCGAGGTACTGAAGTGCCCTTGCAGCCGTTCTTGCCTTTGTGAGCTGGACACGATAGGAATTGTCAGCCGTTGTTGAGCGCTTGGCCCCGGGGCAGGTGAGCCGAGTTGTTCCGGGCCTGAGAAGCCGTTAAGCACAGGAAAAAGGAGCTTACTGAGCTTACCACGCCGCGTGGTTTGGATGACATGTTCGGTTTTGCGTTGCACGAAGGTCTGCTGCCTGTAGTCTGATGTTGGATGCAGGCCGCGTGGCCTGCATCCACCTGAGCGCATGGTCGATGAGGACGAGACTTCGATCGCTGTCAGAATCCGTGATGCTATTTCCGCGCACCAGGAGCTTGAGATTACTTTCGGGTCTGGCGGACTTACGCTTCCACAGTTCGGCCAGAGTGAGGGTGCCAAGGAATGAGAGTTCCAACTTCCAACACACTGCCGCGACTGCTCGGAAGCCGTTGCCCGAGCCGTCGTGTGCCTTGACAAGCTTCGCATGGGTGCAACTCATGATCTCTTTGACAGAGAAACACTCCTTTTAAGCTTTGCTGATGCACCTTCCTCAGCTGGTGCGAAACATCGTCGCTCTGGCTGCTCGAGTGCCCATTAAGCTGAATTGTTTGAAGTCGGTTTTCTGAGCGGGCGCTCAGGCCCATGCAGGCCGGCAGCATCTCGCGACTCAAATCTCGTGGACCTGGCTCTGGTCTTCCGTCCCAGGGTGTCCACCGTGGGTCTCATGCAGCGTGTTCGGCCGCCCGCAGCTGTTTGACGGATCGTTTCCTACATCGAGGATGCCGCAAGGGAATGTTCAGCACTACTACAGCTACAGTTCCAGCAGCACAGCGACAGCAGCCTTTCTAACATAGCCCGAGGTGCTACTGCTTTGATTTGCTGTGCCTCCCTCGAAATTACTTCAAGGAGGTGTCACTTCAATAGCCCTGTCGAAATGGTCCTCGACTCAGCTCAAGACCCTTATGAAAAATGGCCTACGCACTTTTCTGTGGTGCTGCAAGTTCCCCAAATAAATCCGCAACCACCCTCAGAGCAGAAACCGTCCTTCTCTTTACTCAGGTCGTGAGTCGCCGGCGACGTGGGCTCTTGGCTGCTGCCCCGGCTCATCAAGGGTTTAGAGTGTATCGATTGAGGGTTCAGCCAGGCCCAGCTAGGCAGACCCGGCATACCCTGAGCATGCCTCAGCAGATGCAGCGTAGTCTTCATGCGACGCTATGCCCTGTCGAAGCCGGTACAGCACTGTAGTCGTCTCCCGTAGCCTAGCAGGTCATATTTTCGGTGTGATACAATCGTGCTCCGCAGTGTGATTCATGGGGTGGCTTTTGCGAGCCTCGTGAGAGATGATCTGGGGATGAACTCTGAAGCCCAGAACCCCATGTGCCCCAACTTCGGAACCGAACCCCAAACAAAACAGCCTAAAACCCCGAACTCCGACCTCTAAACCCATTAAACCCTAAACTCCCTCAGCCCTAAACTTAAATTCGCCATGCCCGTGGCGGTGGGTCGTTGCCTCGGAGCCACGGAAGTCGTCGAGCGCCCCGGGGAAGGCCGCGCACTGCGAGCCCTTGGGGCGCTGCGGAGTGGCGAGGTCACAGAGTCTCTTTGGTTCTTTTAGGGTTTAGGGTTTAGGGGGTTCAGGGTTTAGGGTTTAGGGTTCAGGGTTCGGGGTTTAGGGTTTAGGGTTTAGGGTTCAGGGTTTAGGGTTTGGGGGTTCTTGTGACCTTTTTTTGGGTGTTTCGGGAGATCGCAGTTTGGGGGTTTTGGGGCTGGTGCGGGTGAGGTTCTGAGAAAGTTCGGGTCTGTGAGGGTGGCTCTGAGGAGCTTAATGGAGCTTACTTGTATGGGGTTTGATTGGTTTCCAAAGCCTGGCCTGAAATCTGAGGCAAACGGCCAGATCTTGAGCTTCACACAACCCTCAGACTTGAGATTTCAGTTCTCGAGAAGTGCACCACTGGGATTCGACAGGGCCGAGGGCGGGGGAGGTGAAACCGAATGAGCCCTAGCGCTCCTCTCGCCCTGGGCAGGTGGCTTTGGTGTCCGAGGCTCTGGTGGGTTTGGTGTCTCTGACAAGCGCCGCGCAATGCTGTGCCTTGTGCCTGCGGCGCTTGCCGCTTCAGCCCTGTGCTGGCTGTGTGACTTGTCCGGATTGGCGGCTATAAGTCTACAACCGCAACTGTATGGTCCGTCCGCCCGTGAGCGAATGGGCGAATCAAGGGATGGATGGATGGGTGGATGTGATTTAGAGTCTCGATGAGGAGAACAGGAACGTGAGCAATGTACCAGCGCAACCGACGACGGTCAAAGGGAAATGACACCACCAATGATCTTCTCCCAAGCTTCCCCCAGCGTTGTCAACTTCTCAGCCCACATTTTCAAGTCTCCTGCAAAGCAAGTCCCGCAAGGCATGCTTCGGCTATTGCAGCGATGCGTACCGTCAAGCAGATGCCCCCGACCACTCACGGGCCGTTTAGTCCGCACAGTGCTCTTCGCAGTTGTGATAGCTGCTCGCTGGTGACTGCGTGCTTACCGTCTCCACTGCATCGCAGCGATCAAGGAATGCGCTGCAATTCCGCTCCTTGTCAAGAAGCTGCTCCATCCTCAGCCTGCTTGCCGAGCCTCGTGGCACACGTGCTATCCTGTCTCGTCTAGAGCAGGTTTGAGCTGCGCGCTGCTGAGCACTGCTGCACGTGAAAGCCGCTCCCCTTTCTTCCCAGGTCCGCTTGTGGGAGCCACGTCTGGCATCGCGGGGATGCCCTCCTGGACGCGCTGCTCTCGGCGCGGCTGCTGCGCGCCGGGCGGCTCGATCATCTCGGAATCTAGGGTGGTGGTACGTCCATCGCCACAATCCACGTTCTTCATCTACTCTTTGAGCTTGCAACAGGCAGCAATATACCTGGTGTTATAGACATGGTATAGGCATGTTGAAAAAACCGTCAGAATAACTCTCCGAGGAGGGTCTTCGGACTGAGGCATCCGGCAGAGTCTCTGGCCGCCAGCCTGGCGTCGCCGTTGCTGGGTCGGCCCAAAGCCTTAGAGGCCATGCTCCAAGCCCCGGCGTTGGCGATCCCCGTGGCAGCCTTATAAGGGCCTTAGGAGGATGCGGAGCATATCACGACTGGCAGTTCCTCCACTCAGACAAGGTGGCCATCGCCAGGAGCCTGCTGGAGGTTGCAGCGGAGGTGCCGCAACTGCTTCCAGAGAGGTTCCGGCATGCTCGACTGCACCAGGCAGGGGCAGGGGTTGTGCGTCGCCGCTTCCGCTTCCTCTTTTTCTATCATTGAGTGGAATCTGCAAAGGCGAGCCTTGAGCTGGTGATCGGGGTCCTCATGCAGATGCAATGCAACATGACGGGAGTGGTCGAACACTCCTGCTTCGAGTCGGTCGGTTCTGCACTCTTCGCAGAGGGCTCTTTGGCCAACCACGACTGTGCTCCCACGTGCCAGTTCCTCTTCCGGTTCCGAGAGGGAGCGCGCCCGAGCCTGGAGCTCCAATGTGTGCGCGATGTTGAGGCGGGTGAGAGCCTTTGCATCTCCTACGGTGACTTGGCTCGGCCTGTCTGGGAGCGACGAAGAAACCTCCAAGCCTCGCACTGGTTCAGCTGCAAATGTGCGAAGTGCATGAAAGATCTGACTCCCAGCGGGCTCCTGAAGCAGCTTGAGTCCGTGAGCGATCCGAAAGGGCAGCTCCTCCGGTCTCTCTTCGAAAGATCGCTTCCAGAGGAGGCGGAAGCTGCGAAGATGCTCCAGGTCTTCAAGGCCCTGAAGGTACCTTTTGCCAGCACGTCGGCAGATGCCGCCGTCTCTTTGGCCCTGAAGGGCTTAGCCAAGTTGGAGCCACTGGAAAAACGCAGCGCTCGCAGCAACCTTCGGATCATCCAAGGCCCCGTCGAAGGCTTCTGTAGAGAGATTCGACTCTGTGGCGCCTCTTGTTCTTGCTCTTGGAGGCTCGCTGGCCAAGCTGCTGCCGGCGGTTCATCGGGAAGCCGTGATCCTGCAGGCGCCTTAAAGAAGGGGCGCCTGGGCTTCGCCTCTCACTCTCATGCATCTCACGCCTGCAGGAGCTGCAGAGCCTCGCCCTGTCCACAGCTGAGTTGGCCGAAGACTTTTCGACGGTTCTGGAGATGGCGAAGGAGCTCCGGGCTCGCTGCCTGGAGCGCTACGGCCCCTTCCACCTGAAGCGCTGCTTCCTGCTGCGGAAGGAGTTGGCAGCGCACGAAGCTCTGGGTTCTCCGGCGACCGAGGCGGCCGAGGCGGCCGAAGCCTTCGAGAAGCTCTTGATCCGGCTTGGGCTGAAAGACAAACACGACACGGACTCCCAGGACACCGGCCTCGCCCACTCAGAGCCGGGCATCGATCTGGACACCATGGACTAGCATCAAGCCGAGCACCGATACATCCGAACCATTCGCCATGAGAAGTCGGAACAGGCTTGATGTGCTGCCGCACTTCTGTTCCGGGTGGCAAAGGCCCCCGGAAACCCATCCTGCTTCGCCGACACCGGGAGTTCGGTGTGAACGGCTGGAAGGCACGACTCGGGCCGAGCTTTGTGCCCGCCTTTCTCCAGATTCCTACAGCGGCCGGCTCGGACAGCATCAGAACGAGGTCTATGCTCAGCCACGCAGAAATATACGAGGCAGTGCCTACAATGTCAACTGGATGGCAACAACTTGGAAATCGGTTGAGCCATGCTGAGCCCTAGCAACTTGGAAAAACACTGAAAGATCTGACCGGTGAGGTCTTAAGACTTGTTTTTTGATGTTGCAGGCTTAGGGGCTTAGGGTTCGGGGTTAACAGTTTCAGAGTAGAGTTTGCCAGCAAGTCTTTGAGGTTTGGGCTTTAGCACGGCTTTCTGGTTCAGCTTCTGGAATGGTTGAGAGTTTGAGGTTCAGGGGTTAAGGGTTACCATTTGGTGTTGGGCGGCTGCATATATAGAAGAGTTTTTGCACGGGGATTGACTTCAATTTAGTGGGTTTCGATCGTTTCCAACGAGATAGGCCCACACGCATAAGCGCACATGTAACGAATGCGGAATAATGTCAAGAATCAGAGCCAGGAGCCTTTGTTGCATTATCTATGGCGGCCTGGAGATGACTCACAAATCGTGAGCCTTGTTTCCGGTGACCCCAACACCCGAAATTCCTAATCCGAAGCCTGAAGCCTAGCTGATCCGCAGCTGAGGCGAATGAGGCCATCTGCGTTGTTCCCAAAGAGATGAGTGCCAGATTCCCGAATCTGCTTCCTGGTCGTTGCTTTCGAGTGTAAGCTGTAGTGCTCGAGGGGTCGAGGGTCACACCACAGAGCCCGCGAACCCTCAGCCCTGAGGTCAAGCCATTTAAATTTAGGTTCTCAAAGTTGGGTTAAACGGTTAAACTTGGGTTTCAAGGCCTGGGCTCGCAGAGCCAGGTTCACATAGCCAATTCAGCCGCATAGTGGTTGGAACACAGGTTTCCATTGAACTTGAGTTCGAACCCGGAGTCTTTCTTGCGGCAAGCACTGGACGTCGTGTTTCATCTTGAGCTTCAGCACCGATATCCCCAACCAAGCCTCGACCAATAAAGCAGAGCACATCAGAGCACCAAGGCTGTGGAAAGAGGGCGGGAAGGAGCGAAAGCGACGAATCCCGCAGCAAGCTTCAGCATCCCCCTGCGCTTTGCAAAGAGTGCCTTAGGCAAAAGATGATCATGGTGATCATGTTCGTACGAGGTTCAGGGATGAGAGTTCGCGCGCCTTGGGATTACGGGCCCTAATCAAGTTTCAGAGACTTCACGGTATTAAACACCTGGTTTTGCCGACGCTCCCGTCCACGCTGTCAGGCTGTACGGCCCACATGCAGTCGCAAGCCACGAGCGCGCCATCGAAGGAATCTGCGTCGGCTTAGGCTTTGCCGCCTTTTGACGAGATGCTGCTTGCAAGGAGATTGAAAAGGCGCTTAGAGTTTGTTGCTCGACGGAGACAGATATGCCTTCCCTGCGGACCTCGTACTCTGAAGTGCATGTGAATAGCTGCTCTTTTACTTGGTGCCGCTGAGGCCGCCTCATGTGCGTTCTTAGTCATCGCGGCCCTGTGTCACAGAGGCTCACGGGGGAGAGCATTTGAAAGGTCTTGGCCGAAGCTGTGCCCCAGGTGACCTACCCGTGAGCCTTGCTCTGCAGTCTCCAGCTTCCTGTTCAGCTTCTGCATAGCGCGTTCTACAACGTGGTACGCCCCTTAAGTTGTAACCATAGTACACTGGATCCCAAAGCTGTTAAGGCACCTATACGAGAACCCTAAAAGCCATGCCCAAGACACAGCGCAAAAGAGCGCACGCATTCACTCTGCTTCGCTTGCTTCTTTGTGACTATGTGACTATGTGCCTCTTACAAGAAACCCGTTCAGGAACCTGCTCTGACTCTAACTTGTGGCTTGCAGCGTCAGGATTGGCCTGGCTGGGTGCCGGACTCGAGCTCAGCTCGGTCAGCTTTCGCTTCCAGGGCCTTCGAGAAAGCACAGACGTCTAGGGCGCCCTAAGATGAAGTATACGGTATACGTTCTACTCCTACCGAGCAGACTCAGGCAAGGCCAGCAACCCGGAGTCGGCATCTCAGAGCCCAGAACTTGCGATGGATGATGACCGGCTTTGGCAACAGGCACACGGCCTCACCTGGACGGCGCAGCGTATTGCAGGTCGGGAGTTAGCAACAAGGGGTTCTGTTGCCAAAACTTGTATGCGCTGGGTCGTTCTCCTTCCTCCACCTCTCTCTTGCATCTCAGTTTGTCATGTTGCTACAGTTAGTTTGCGGCATTGCGGTGCGACAACATATTTGTATCGTAGCACAGAAACATGCAATATACTTCCTCTTCCTCTCTGTGAGCATGCTTCCTGCCGGGTTGTCTTGTTTTTGGGTTTACGGTATTCCTGTTGCAATTACGAGCCTTATCGACTATGACAATGACTGACGATGAGAGTGTCGATGATGGTGATGCTGATGCTGATGATGCTGCTGCTGCTACTGATGCTGATGATGCTGAAGGTTGTGTTGTTGCTGTTGTGTGAACTTGCTTGATTATTGACACTCTTCCACAGGGGCGTCACGCCTCACATCAGTGCTGTATCACACCGTATCATCACAGCGAACTTGCCGGCTGGAGAGGAGTCTGCTGCTGCAGCAACTGCGGCAATGTGGCTGATGCCGGACGAGGCTGAAGCCTTCAGGCCCCGCTGTCCTGGAGCTTCTTTGAGATAGATGTTTTGTCCGTGTCGGCCTCTAAGTTAATTCGCTTGGCTAACAAAAAATTGCACAGATGTATGGATGCTTCTCGGCGCATGCTTACATGCTCACATCCACATCCACGCATACATTGCTTGTCTGTGCAATCGCTCTCACATGTCAATGTGCTTGCATGTTATGTCGCGGACCCAGCACTCGTTGTTGTTCACACATACCTGGCATACATCTGTACGTACACTGTGATCGGTGTTTTTATCAATGGTATGCACCCAGCTAGGTAGATGTAAAGGTTGATTGATGGAGAGACGGATAATATACATGCACATAGAAGCATGCATGCATGGGCATACGTACCTACGTGCATACGTACATATGCATGTATGTGTGTGTGTATGTATGTATGTATGTATGTATGTATGGGTGGATGCATGTATAAATGTAGGCAGGTATGCATGTACATGCATACTTACGTACATACATACATACATACATACATGCATGTAAGCATGTAGGCAGGTATGCATGTACATGCATACTTACGTACATACATACATACATACATACATACATAGGTAGGTGGGTAGGTAGGTAGGTAGGTAGGTAGGTATGTAGGTAAGTAGGTAGGTAGGCGCTGGGTCTAGTCTATATATATATATATAATATACACACATACATACATATATATATATATACATGTATATATATATGTATATATCATATATCATATATCATATATCACGTGAATATATATATATATCTATCTATACATAGATCGAATTATTTAGATATAGATGTGCATGTGTGTGTGTGTGCGCGTGCATGTGTCTAGGTGTGTATGCGTGTATGTGCCTATGTGTGGATATGTGTCTGTGTCTCTGTGTGTACGCGTGTGCATGTGTTTGTGTACGTTTCTATGTATGTGTACATACATATGTTTATATATGTGTGAGTGTGTATGCACATGTACGTATATGTGTACATGTGTGTGTGTGTGCAGGCCGCAAACGAATCAGTTGCAACACCTGGTAGCCCATAAAACCTGGTAGCCCATGCTTTTCAGCAGCGCATGGCGCACGCTTTGTGCGCTCTGCAGGGTGGATCGCATTTTCAATGCCAAGCAGCAGCTTGTTCCGAAGATTCGATGCTGGCCTGCACCTGCTTTCAATGCCTAGGCACCTGCGTAACCCCATGGATGTTCGTAAGTGCCTGAAGAAACCAGATGTATGCGTGTGTGTACATACCAGTGTATGTGTAGATACATGCGGAACATCATTACGGTGACAGTCGCACTCCTTGGCTGGCTGTTGTTTCTTCCGTTCTTTTGTAGCTAGTTGCGGGCAGAGTTGTCTAGCAAGCTAGCAAGCTTTTATCGAGGCAGTGAGCAAGCTCGCCGGTTCGTGAATGAGTTAGATAGTTAGATCGCTCGTGTCAGGTATTTAGCTATCTGGCAGTCAGATCCTTCGAGATGGTGCTTGTTTCTCCGTTTGTGTGCTTGTGCATTTATTTGCTTGTTTGCGCTGGTGCTTTTGTTTGTGTGTAGTGGCATGCGCCCAAAGTGTGCAGTGCTACATGCGCTCCTGCTTAAGGAAAGTATTATCAGAAGCTGGAGGGTCCGCGACTCGATCGATCGATTTGTTTGACTCTGCTGCGCGGCTCTACAAGGGAGGCCCAGCAGCAGGCGTTTGAAGTTGAGCTTTACGAGGCCTCCGAGATGACCTCCTACTCCAAGTGGAGTTGGCAGCCTTGGCCTTGTCCAAAAGCCACGGTCCAAGGCCGACAGAAGTTCTCTTTCCCATTCCTTAAGGCCGGCAGCCGGGTGGAGTTCCGTGCAAGCGGCCCAGCAAGGATTCCGACAAAAACGCGAAGAAATCGAGACAGCGACATTTCAGCATGATTCAAAGTACGAGGCTCGGCCTGCCGAGTGGTTCTCCGGCGTGGACAACAAGTTTGACGGGCAGCTTGCTTAGCGACTCCGTCGAAGGCAGCCTATAGCTAAGCTAGAGGCATCCTCAAAAAGACTCAAAAGCAGTTCCGAGGACATTTCAGGTCGTGGGTCAATTGGATGCGAAGTATGGCTGCACGCCTTACAAGCTGGAGGCCCCCGAGCGTTCACATGACTCCCTGCAAAACACAAACCCAGAGTTTTTCGTTACTTAGTCGCCTTGGGGCCCCTGGCCAAGCGAGGCGGGCAGCATCGCTTTGGTCGCCAGAGGAATCTGCACCTTCGAGCAGAAGGCGCGTCGCTGCCTTTGCTTTCGGGCCTTCGCTCGGGTCCTCTGGCGCAGGCCCAGATGGCAAAGGAAGCAGGTGCTTTTCGCCTTTCGGAAGCCAAAGGAGACTCTCGCTCCTGTGGCCCTGAGGTGCTAAGGCCATCATTGTGTATGACGAGAAGATGTCGAAGGCACCCCTGGAGCAGCAGAACAGGCGGCTCGCACTTGTGTTCGGCAAGTGATCTCAGCATTGGCGACAAAAGCACCCGGTCTGAGGACGGGGCGAGTGGCCAGCAAGGGCATCCAGTCCTACCAGGCAACATCTAGAAAATCAGGCATGTGAGGCATGTGAGGCCTTGTTGTTGGGAGAGCAGTGCGTGGTCTTCGTCCTTATCTGGCAGTTGCCAGTGCCGATGCGACTGCGTGTCTCCAGGCCGGAGACGCCCTGAGCGGCGTGCTGCCGGCAAGCTTCGCTTGACAAAGCAGCATGGTCATGGACTGGGAGAAGCATTTAGGCTCGAGTGACGCCGCATCCGGCATGGCAGGCTTCGAGTGCAGCTCTAGAGAAGGGTATGACCCTCATGATGGGTCTGAGCCCAAGAGCGCCAACAGGCGTACGAGTACCTCAAGTGCCGGCTAGCACTGTATCTGCTAAAAGCTGTTTTGCAGCACCTTGATCCTTGTCATTGTTGAGCATCAGGAGACCAGGGCAAGCCAGATCTGGACGGCTGCATGCTCCTCCCTCAACGTGACGCATTGCAGCTCGAGAGCCCATCCCAGCCATGAGACCTGACAGGATTACGCGAGCCAATGGCACGGCGCTTGTTGATTCCATCAACAACGGCTTCCAGCCGGGGCCCGAGTCCTTCAGGCAGCGAGGCATATCTTTCGAGTGTTTGCGGTTCGCATATGAAGTGGGCTGCAGGCCCAAAGTCCTGGACGTGAAGCGGTCCAGGTTTGAAGATGGCATCGACCGCTTCATCAAGAAGGAGCCACCTGGGGCCTTGCGAGTGCTATGTTTCTCTCTCTCCGTCAGGCTACAAGTGCCGTAGAGCCGCCCCATCATGTCGCTTCTCACCGTTTCTGCAGGACCTTCCCAAGTTGAGTACGGCAATGGAGCATTGAGCTCAGCAAAGTCCAAGCAAAAGCGTGATTCCAAGATTTCATGTGGCTTTGAGTCAGTGCTTCCGACGTGCCTTCTCGCCAAGTGGCTATAGCCTCATCCAGCGCGTGTCCAAGACTGACCCCAACGCCTTCTCGCCACGTTTTCTCGGAAGACCTTCGCTCTTGCACTTCGGAGCACGAAGTTTCTTGGGAGCAGGAACCCATCGTCAACCAGCTGAAGGCAGACCTGAAGGACTTTGAAAAGGCACCGTGGACCCGCGCGCTCGGCTGGATTTAGTTGGATCCCTTTCGATTATGTTGACCTTGCGCCAGGCTGTGCGGTCGAAAGACTATGGGGAGATACGAAAGACTCCGGCCGTAGGGGATAAGTGTCGCTGCCTGGGCAGCCGGGAGTGCTTGTTTGGATGGTCAGGGTGAGAAGTTTGATAAATTTGCAGAAGTGGCGTAAGAAGTGTCTGGAGTCAAGTGCAGTGACTTTGCAGGGCAGTGACCCATGGTGCTCACCGGAAGCAGCTGGATCATGATGATCATGGGCTGCTATTTCGAGGACATGGAAGAAGTGGAACTCTGACTTGGATCCTGACATTGGCGTCTGGGTGTGGCCCTGAGCGTGAGGCTGACTAGACCGCTCGTTGCACTTTTTCCGGCCCTCGAAAGGCCCAGAGGCAGAGGGAAGCTTGCAGTGGCGAGTTGATAAGGAACTGGCCGAAGTCTTCTGATCCACAGGAGGTCGAGTGGTCGACTGCTCCAATTCTACCGCTTCGAGTTGCAAGCAGAAGTGATCTTGGATTTCCAGGCACCCGAATGCCGTCACTGGATGGGCGCTTTTAAGACGCTGCCTCGCTGAGCCTATGGCCTGCCGCTGTCGGGACATAGCTCTTGTGCAGCTGCCGTTGTGCGAGGTAGATCTGGTTTAGTCGGAAGTCGAAATCGATGCTTCGTTGCCCTCTGTGACCGGCCGGCAAGCTGCCAACAGGTCGCAGACTACTTGCGAACTGGAATAATGCTATGAGCTGCAGTCAGTTCCCATTGCAGCAGTTTTTCGAACACGAAAGAACAATGAAGGATGGAACATGCCCTTCGTTCCAAGTATAGTTGCGCAATGCATGCACTGCACGACTGTTGTGGCTGCTCCAATGCAGATACTCGGATGAAGAACGGTAGGAGAGCAGGACAATGTCCATCCGATCTCATTGAAATCCTTTGCAGATGATTTTCCGACAGCTCGAAAGACCACTCAGTGGTAGTCTACGTTTTGTTCATCTGGGCCTGACCTCTGGTCGTTGCCCAGATGCCAGGTCAAGCAAACTGCAACTGCCCGTGGTTCCGGCAGGCCTCGCAAAAGATGGCGAGTGCGGCGTAGCCAACAGCTCACGGGGACAGTTTTCGCAGACATTGCAGTTCCCGCCGCAATCGTTAGCCCTTTAGCCCATTCGGCAGCTTGGACCCGCAGCAGACCACGGCAAGTAAAGTCCAAGAAGGGCTGTGTGAACCAGAAGCATGTAGAATCATAGCAAGTTAGACAAATCAGCCGGCAGCCTTCGGGCCTTGGGGCCACATGCTGCGATGCTCCGCACCCGCTCAGCTCGAAGCGCCCGTTCCTCAGGATGCAGAGCTGCGAGACCTGAGAATCTGGAACGGAAGCTAAAGTTGATGTGCTTTTGCTAAGCAGAGAAGGGTTGCTAGCATGCAGCATGAGCCGTGGTTGTACTAGCCGTTACTAGCCGGTAACAGTATTCACAGCATCGGCAGCACAGGGAAGGGAATGTCACGGGAAAAGTGAGAACTATTGTAATCGAATGTATTTCAGCGACAAACACCACAGTAAGAAGCGTACCATTGCATGCAATGTACGAGTTGTAGCAGCAGTAACACTAGTCAGTCGATCCATTTTGTTGTTTCAGAAGCCCAATGTCTCACAGCCCAAACACAGGGAGTGATGAGACTGCCAAGGTTCTGGGCAGCGAGCCCACGAGCTTCCAGCTGCCCCCACGGCAACCGCCCCAAGTTGAGCTTGATGGTGGTAGGAGCGGCAGCAGCCGCAGGGAGAGGCCGCAGGCACGTTACAGCAGAAGCAGAGCAGCTGCAGTGGTGAACTTACCAGTAGTAGTAGTAGTAGTAGTAGTAGTAGTAGGAGGAGGAGGAGGAGGTGCCAGTCCATGCAGCCGAGGAGGAGGTGGAATGAGGACAGTCACTATTGACGTGAGTGGGCATAGCAGGAACAGGGCAAGAGCTGCAGTAGTAGTAACAGCAGCCGCTGCGGAGTAGCAGCAGCAACAGCAGCATCGGCAGCAGCAGCGGCAGCAGCAGCAGAGGCGGCAGCGGCAGGAGGAGCAGCAACAGTAGCAGTAGCAGCCGCAGTAGCAGCCGCAGTAGCAGTAGCAGCCGCAGTAGCAGTCGCAGTGGCAGTCTCAGTGGCAGTCGCAGTAGCAGTCGCAGTAGAAGTAGCAGTAGCAGTCGCAGTAGAAG